TGATTGCTTCAGGGTAGGCTAATAGGTCATCAGATACTTTATATCAACATGGTTGATTTTGTGAATGTCAGATCCATTTGTTTTCACTCTTAAATGTCAATCAAATTTCATTGATCTTTCTTAAATTCGAATTACATTTTACATTTTACTTGAGAAATTGTCAACCCTTTGCTTTCCATTATCATTTTATTATGGTGGTTGTAATTCTGCTAATGCAAATGATATAATACAATCTTAACTACATCCATCATTGATGTTATTTGTTATATTTTCAAAGTAAATTAAATTTATTTGTTTTCTGTGTATTAGCCTGAGTTAGATGTTCTTGCTCTTGATTTTTAGTTACATCTGTCAGTAAGTTTCACCTTTGGTCCTGGAATAATTGCTGATTCATAGGTTCTTAAAAATATATTTGCAGATTTGGAGGCTTGTGTGTGGCTAGAAGAGAATTTGAAAAGGTTTGACCGCATTCTGGTTGTGGTTTCACACTCTCAGGATTTCCTTAATGGTGTGTGCACAAATATCATCCACATGCAAAACAAGAAGCTGAAGCTCTATACTGGGAATTATGACCAATATGTTCAGACACGTGCTGAGCTTGAAGAGAATCAGATGAAGCAGTACAAATGGGAGCAGGAGCAGATTTCCTCCATGAAGGAATATATAGCTCGATTTGGTCATGGATCAGCCAAACTTGCACGCCAAGCCCAGAGTAAAGAGAAAACTCTAGCAAAAATGGAGCGGGGTGGACTCACAGAGAAGGTGGTAAGAGACAAAATTTTGGTATTCCGCTTTGTTGACGTGGGAAAACTTCCACCCCCTGTCCTCCAATTTGTTGAGGTGACATTTGGTTACACTACTGATAATCTGATATACAAGAACCTTGACTTTGGGGTTGATTTAGACTCTAGGATTGCTCTGGTTGGACCCAATGGTGCTGGGAAGAGTACGTTACTGAAGCTAATGACTGGCGATCTGGTACCTGTGGATGGCATGGTTCGACGGCACAATCACCTTCGAATTGCACAATTTCACCAGCACTTGGCTGAAAAGCTAGACTTGGAATTGTCTGCTCTACAGTTTATGATAAAAGAATACCCTGGAAATGAGGAGGAGAGGATGAGAGCAGCAATTGGTAAATTTGGACTGTCGGGTAAAGCGCAGGTGATGCCGATGAAGAATTTATCTGACGGGCAGAGGAGCCGCGTGATATTCGCATGGTTAGCTTATAGACAGCCTCACTTGCTACTTCTGGATGAGCCAACTAACCATTTAGATATTGAAACAATTGACTCATTGGCTGAGGCACTGAATGAATGGGACGGTGGCATGGTGCTTGTTAGTCATGATTTTAGGCTCATAAATCAAGTGGCCCACGAGATATGGGTGTGCGCTGATCAAGCTGTGACCAGATGGGAAGGTGACATCATGGACTTTAAGGAGCACTTAAGATCAAAGGCGGGTTTATCTGACTGAACTGAACAAAATTGTTGATATCACTACTGTCTAATTACGTGTTTATATTACAACCTGAGGTTTGAGATAGTTTATGGTTCAGAAATCATGGATGCTGACCACCATCATAGGACGCTACACCTACTACTACATATTTCTACTAGTGCGCGGCGGCTTATGTTATGAATGGTATGTTCTGTCCTGGGTCTATGTCATTCATCATTTATGCCACTACTTTCCCCCAACTTCCTCCTAATAATTCTTTACCTCCCAATTCCATAGCAGCCATAAACGTGTTTCGTATACCTCTTCTCATTATGTACACGCCAGTAACTTCATACCTTTGGATAAGCTGATTATTTATTTAATCACAAATTATTATATAAAACTATATATCTATAAGCCTTGTTTTCAAATTTATCTAATCAAGGTTTTACAAATTTAGTTGAATAAATTAAAAATATCCAATAGTCATTACTTAAATTGGACCATGCGCATTGTACAAACTCTTCAAGTAGAGATGTTCTTCGTATGTATATAGAAAGTTTGTAAGTCTTCCCCCAGTTAAGTTTAATTATGTCGACTAATTTGTTTATTTTTGCTACTCCCTTAGTAAATTTGGTTTCTCACATTGAATTATAAAATTATTGTTCCAAAAAAAACATCACCACAGCCCTCATTTATTTCCCTAAAAATTTACTTTTTATTTTATAATTCTCTCTTCCAATTTTATAAATAAAGTACGAGTTATAGATCTGTGTCACTTGCCAACCGCTGCTTGAAAGTTAAGCATGGAACACGTTTAATGAAACAAAACGTATACTACAAAGTGATGACCTACATTTTTGTTTATTTATATTTATTTATTTATTTATTTGAGTACAAGATGTACTCAAAATACTGGAACTTTTCTGATTAGACTAAACGTCCTATTCACCACATGTTTACAAAAATCCCCCACTATTGTTTACCCATGCTGATGATGACAAGTCCTAAAAGAGTTCATAAATTTATGATATGACTTAGCATAATCTGACTCAGCTTCACCTAAAACCACATTTTTGTTGAATTGGGAGATTGAATTTGTGTGGACTTAAGAGAAAAGAGGAGTGAAAATAAAGTTGGTTGTATCAAGGAAAAGATGTTGAGATATGAGAAATCATGAGAAGATGGATTTGAAGAAGAATGAGTGAATGTATTTGAGTAGATTCGGATGGATAATATTTTTTTGTAATAAGTTAAAATATAAGATTATTTCTTTTTTCTTGATATATTATTATTATTATTTATTTTCTTTCTTTTTATCTAATATAAATTATTATTTATTATTTCCTTTCTTTTTATCTAATGTAAACTCACTATTTTATGAGAATGAGTTTCATAATCGATTTTCTGACTTACACACTACATCACATTCTTTACAAACATTAGTTGTGAGTAGAGAAAACTTTATTACACATGGGTGTAAAAACACGGATAAAAATTGATTTTGGATGAAACATGAGAGAAGAATTAATCCTTATTTTATATAAGGAAAAGGAAAATCGATTCTCTTGAAAACATAGAAAAAGGAGAATAAATTCTTATAATTGCAAAATCTATTTTCTCGTTCTCTTCTACGTTAATAACTTCCATAAAAGGATCATGTGTGACGTGTCTTTTACCTATTTTCTCATCGCAATAGTGAAGAAGACTCCTTTGTTGCATACTGTAAACTCACAATTTCGTTCAAATCATCTTAAACAAACTCGTGTTTTAGGCACTCTTCTGTTTGTATGCACAGTAAATTATCAGAAACAAACACAAACTTAGATAACTTTACAAAACATATTTATAATTGAGTTATTCTTTAGCTACACGTATGAATTTTTTTTATCATATTTAATATAAAATCGTAAATAAATAAGACGATTTTTGTACTTACATGTTATTTAAGCAAAACAATAATTATTTATATGTTTTCGAGATGAATATATTTATAAAGATTTAAAAAATAAAAAAAAGGTTAAATGAGTTTGTAATGAATTAAACTTAAAATACTAATTTATGTATAAGTTAAACATGAAAATTTTAAGAAGTTATATATAACTTTTTACAAATACCTTAATTTTGACTGTTTTGAATGTTTAAAACTAAAATTGGACAATGTTTAAAAATTTAATATATTTTAGATATAATTCTTTTTTACATATTGACCATCCTTCTAAATTGACATTTGATTTATATGTCAAATCGTATAAAGAATTCAAATACCAATTTAAAACACTAAAAATTTAAAATAAAAAAAAACTATATTTTTAATCATTTTTAAAATTTGAAGACTAAATTATATAAAAATTTAAAAAAAGTGATAAATTTCAATTTTTCATCCAAATTTAGAGATTAAAAATATTTAATTTTTTTAAAAGAAAAAAAAATCTATTCTAATCTGCATAGTAAAACCGGATTAGTAAATAGAGACTATTATATATTATTTTTGCATTCGAGGCTGATTAGTAAATAGAAAAAGGATTCAGAACATATTTGTAAAGTAATTTATAGATACAACTAAAATTTGTACATACAAAGTATCTGTCTTTGGTAAGAAACGAAATAGGCATGGTGTGTTCCTTCATGAAAATTGAGTACTAGTCTGAGAGTGTGTAATTATGATGCACAAAGCAGAGTACTAATTTGAGAATTTTGCATTATTCATAGTACATTGACAGCTGGTACCATCCCAAATTGCAACTTTATACATGAATATAAATGCCAAAAAAATTTCATTGCATAGCATTAAAGTCATTCGACAAGCAGCAGAATCATTGGTCGCAGCCATAATTTCATTGTAAGTAAGGATGTCCCTAATTATAATAACACCTTCTATCTTGGTGGGAGTAGAGTGGCCAAAAAGTGCATCTTAGCTGGTTGGAGCACAGACAAGTTGAAGATATTTCATCAAAAAACCCAGCAGTTTCAGATTATCATAGCATGTTTTGTTCATAATTTACAAATTTCATATGTCATATCTTGTTTTGAGTTCTAGTTCTTGTCTTCCTAATCATCGTATTATTATTATTACAATCATGGTGTGTTTATTTGGCCGTAAACAAAGCAATGAAGTTCACACGTTTGAAAGACAAGTTTGTTTTTCATTTTTTTACTTTTCAAAACCCCTTGAACACCAGTTTAAGAATTTGACTCAGTCCCCTTTGGACAATGGAGAAACAAATACAACCGTGTCGTTTTGTACCAATGTACATTTATGTTTGAAGGACTTGTACGTTTTACAAACAAATATGGTTTATGTTTCGTTTAAAGTTACACAAACGGGCGCGTAATTTTGTTAAGATAGAAAACGTTATACATTAATATTAGTGTACTGTTCGTAGTATAGGATCAATGAAGACAACCTGAATGATATGTAGAATATTCTTATAGTGTGAAGTCTGATGATCCTAACTGCATAAGGTCGTGATTGAAATAAAGCAGTAATAAGATAGGTGTTTATCCTTAAAACAAAAGTTAAATTAATCAAAAAATTGAAGATGAACGAAGTATCATTCTGCGAGTAATCTGGAGCCGGAAGATTTTATTAGGTCTTGGTGGAAGAATTAATTAGACAGTCAAATGAATTTGACCAGAGGTGCAGGAAAAAAAGTTAACCAAAGATTCCAGCATCATTTTTTAATGATAAAATTTGGTTAAAAAACGATGGATTTTCTGTGAGCTTTTCTTGAACGAGAAGTTTGAGTTCCTTGATGATGCCATTGATGAGCCAGTATCCTCTCAAGGTCACTGGGCCTGCAAGGAATGGTGACAGCACCTTCATGATCAAAGCCATACTCTTCTTCTGCTTGCTCCAACAGCTTCAAAAACGTAGGGTTGGATAAACAACTGAGTGGCAGCACAAACCTCTTGTGTTCTTCTCCACCCTCAGCAATCACAGCGAAGTGTCCTTCCTTCACATCCTCTGGAACATACGTTGAGTTTGAAACAGACCCTTCTTTGCTTCTCCCTGGTAAGAGTCTCTTCTGGAGCTTCTCCACGAATTTGAACTTCACAATGTCACTGACACTTCTCTTGCTGCTTCTTACACTGAGCTTGGCCATGTTGACAATGTTTGTTTTGGTTGTTAACAATGTAATAACTTGATGGTTGTTGTTGATGACTTGCTTGAGGTTGTTGGAGTGTTTGAAGCATGTTATATATAGGTGTTGTGAAAGTGTAGATAAGGTTATTTGGACGGTAGCTGAAGATGAAGATTGAGAAAACGTGAAGAGTGTTAGATTGGTGAAGGGGAGACAGCGCATGTGGGTGCAGTGTTACAGGACTTTTCATACCATGCAACGTCCCTTTTCGCTGGTCGTGTCGGATTCCAACTACGTAATTATTAACCATCTTCCTCTCCATAATTCTATTACCATTTCCATCATTATGCTAACACTTTCTATTTTTTGCCTACTCTGCTTCTTTTCTTAACGGTTGTAAAATATCTTTCTATTTTTAACATTCGTTTCAGAAATGGCGAAAATAATCTCAATTATTTCTTTTAGCATCGACGACGACGACACTCGCCAGAGCTTTTTCCATCACAATTCCTTATCGGTTATCATCGTCTTTATCTTTAAAATGCAAAAACCTTCTACTACGTATAATTGGATAAGAAAATAGACAACACTGCAGTTAGACTGAATGATCTAACACATAATAAATTCAACTTAGATCAAACTAATTAATTTGATAAATAAGTCAGCAAATTTAATGTTTTTTTATGTTTATTTAGTTAAAAACCGTACGTATACCCAATAAAATAAATATTTACCTTATAGTATTAATTGTTACAAAATTTCCTTTGATATAATTGAATGAACATCCATTCAATCCTCTTTTTGTTAAATATTGTCCAAACCCTTTGGTTATCTTATTACGAAGATATTCACGGAACATACAAATATTTAACTAGACATAAGTTAAATTTATAAAAGATTAACCTTACACTACTATTTTTATAGGTTTTCATGATCAACTTTCTTTTATATTAATATAGAACTTATATATTAACATACTATTATTATAATTTTTCTGGATTTTCTGGAAACCAAATTTCATTTTATCATTTACATATTTTTAACTAATTTTGTTATGTTCTATTTTTATTATTTTTTTATCTTCTACATGATTATTTATATATATTGCTCATAATATAATTAATTAAAATTTTCTAATGAGATAATAATATTTACACATATTTAATTACTAAAATAGTGCCACATGTTATTATTTGATCTTTTTCTTTTTTACTATATGGTGGCAAAATTATATACTGATTTTCACATTAATTCCTCAAATCTCTTTTTTTCTCTCCAAATGAAAACTTTACTCTCAAATTTCTATTCAAATGTTTCTGGTTGACATTTTTTATGAAGGTCGTGAAAAATGTCATTATCTTGATTTGTTTTTCTTCTACAAAATTATTTATATATCCTACTTGTAATGCATTTAATCAAGTTTTTATAATGCGATAATAATATCACACACATATATGATTACTAAGAATATTCACGTTTAAATTTAAATTTCCAACATTTTATTACCTTGTCAATTATCCAAAGGACAGTTCTTAGATATTTGTCTTTAATAAGGCTGCTGTGTATCTATCTGTTAATGCTGGGCAAGCGTATGATTGAGCTGAGTAGCAATTGATTCTCTTCATCTGGCCAATTTTGACTCAGCTTCTTCTTCCTCAGATGGTTGTATTCATACATATGACAGATTAACGTACGAATTCCATGTGCTCATGTTACATCTGTAGTTCTGTTTTTGTACTGCAAGTTTTACCTTTGATCCATAAATGAGAGTCTAGGGCATATGTGCATGGAATGTGTGAAGCAATAACTAGGAAGCTTCCAGAGAAATGACACAAACCATTCATCCATATTCATTCTTAAGGAACTGTTTGCCAAATCTCAAGAACTGCATCCAGCTGTGATACATCACTTCGTCCTAACTTTAAACCTAATTTTTCACAATGTGGAGCTTCTAAAACTTTATTAGATAGTTTTCACATCAATTATAAATTTATATTTTCGCATTTCAAATTTATTTTATAAAATTGTGTTAAGTTTAAAATTTACTTTAAAAGTATTATTAAAATTCCTCAAAATGTTATTGTTTGTTAAACTTATGATTTCATATTCAAAATTTTAGCAGTTGAAACTCAAATAGTTTATAAATAATATTTAAACTCATTTTCACTTCTATTATAGTAGTATAAAAAATAATAATTTATACAATTAATGGGATGGAAAATAAAACAAAAATTTACAATGATTAAAATACTAAAATTGTATATATATATATATATATATATATATATATATATATATATATATATATATATATATATATATATATATATATATATATATATATATATATATATATATATATATATATCTTTTTTTTTTGTAATTCTATCTGAAAGTTATAACCATCTATATAATAAATAAAATTTTATGTATATTATTACTTATTTGTCTTATTGGTGTGGTACACTAAAATATAGAAAGAGGGCAGAATTTGGTACTGCGATAAAGAATTGCACGTGGTATATATTTGAAAGTCAGATACAGACATAGGTACAATTTTAAATCTCATGGCTGAAAATATAATTTAACTAAAGAGAACAAGATGATTTTATTTCATAAATAATCAAGAGTGCATGAATGTGATTGGATATTGATACGTGATTAGCAATGAGATGAAATTATTGAAATGTCTAATAAGGATTAACTTTATCCCACCCCTGGGTAATTAATAATGTTACAAAGTTATTGGAATTAATCATCTTTGCAACATGAACTGTAGACAACTCTAAATGTACAAATATAAGTACTCTTTAACATAATACCGAAAACACGTGAATTCTTTTTTATGATTTTTTTTTTTTTGTTCACGAAGCCCTGTTTTAGAGATATCCATTCCACCACTGAAAAAACGTGTCTTGAGTAAGAACTCTAATTATACCAATAGAACAAGTAAAGGAAGTTTTACTGCATACTTGTACAAATAAAATAGTCTATAGATTGTTTAATGTGTTTTCTAATAAAGAATGTCTTTCTTGAATGAGTAAATACCATGATTGTCTTTGGACATGTATGGTATAACAAGTGGATGTGTTAAATTATAATCTTCTCAATTTTTTTTTATTATTTTATTGTATGAGCCCTACTATCGATATTCGATATATTTATTTTTGCTGATAAAAGAAGGGATGAAAAAATATCATCTATTACTGTTTCATAAATATCCTAAAAAGAATGGGGCATAAAATTTTAGATCTAGCCAATTGCATGTCATGTTAATTAATGATAAAAAAATACTTAAAGAGTACTATTTAATTAATTCATGATGGAAAATTAAGATATTAAAATCATAAGAAAATATATTAATAATATATTTAATAAAAGCTTCAACTTCTAGTATATCTTGAATGTTTGATGGTTTAAGTGTAGCATTTGAAAAAACTAGTCACAACCTTTTAAGGAAAATATATAATTGTTTTGAACAAACTATTATACAAAACAAATTATTATTATTATTATTATTATTATTATTATTATATATATATATATATATATATATATATATGAAAATTTTCACTCTAGTGAAATTGAGTTTTATTTAAATTTTCATATTCAATTATCAAAATTAAAAAGTGAAATAGAGAGTTTATATAAATTATACAATCAAATTATCAAATATAAATTAGGTTGTGAGAGGGGCAGGAGGTCCTGGTCTATGTGTCGGTTTTTGACATAGTGTTGAGGACTAACCTTGTGGATGGTATGGAGTATTTTAGAAGTGTATTTGTAAGAAGAAGTAGAAGTCATCACAAGTGTATAACCTCCCGTGACCGTTCATCAACGTATCATCCGAATGAGTGTCTATTGGGTATTGTGGAATGAGTGTCTATTGGGTATTGTGGAATGAGTGTCTATTGGGTATTGTGGAATGAGTGTCTATTGGGTATTGTGGAATGAGTGTCTCTTGAGTATTGTGGGATGAGTTCTATTGGGTACTGTGAGATGAGTGTCTATTGGGTATTGTGGGATGAGTGTCTATTAGGGATTGTGGCATGATGGGATGAGTATCTATGGTGCGATTGTTGTATTTTAACATATGACTCGTCTATTTAAAGCCTTTCTCAATGCACATGTTGTTGAGCGGATGAGACAAAGTGACTGAGTTTGAAAATTGTACTTGAATGAATTTTAACTAATGATAATTCTTAATATATTTTTCAATCAATTTTCACTTATCTACACAATATTCCACAAACAAAATCAAAATACTTATATTTTCCAAAATTATCTAATAAAACTAATTATCTAGAATATAATAAGAAAAAGATAAAATACTATTTTTTCAAAATTATTTGATAAATCCTTTATTATTTAAAAAGATAATAATAAAAATATCAATAAAAGATAAAAAAATAAACATAACAAAAAATATAATAATACAAATTAATATATATATATATATATATTATTAGTGGTGTCAAAATAGATTGTGAGCCAGGAACCAACTAACCCACCCACCAAAACGGGATAGATTAACTTAAAATTTTTAACTAGCTAACCTATTTTTACTCATCCTATCTAACCTCTCAAATTGGTGAGCTAAAGACAAACTAACGTGTCTTTGTCTTCCTGACCCACTTTTTTCAATTTAAAGAAAATAATTTAAAAGATTAAATGTTTTTAGATTATATTTTTATAAAAATATAAATATAAAATATTATTATAATTTAAATTATTAACACTTAACACTCATCAATTAAATTCTAGTTATTAATATAGTAAAATAACTTAACATGTAAATATTAATAATTATTTTAATTTATCTAATTAAAAATATTAATAATCAATTAAAAGCTAAAGAAATATTTATATAACTAAATGTGTTAAATATTTATTTAAATAGATATCCAAACAAATTTTAAAAATAAAAAGTAAATAAAAAATAACAGACTAACTGACTCATCACTCATGGTATCAGAGGACGAATCATAATTCGTTTTGTAACTTTTTTTTTGGTGATAGATGAGTCCGATCCGTGAATAGAATGGAGAAAAAGAG